TAGGGCTTTAGGGTTTAAGGGTTTTGTTTCAGGGGTTTAGGGTTTAGGGTTTTAGGGCCTTCTGGGTTCAAGGGTTTAGGGTTTGTTGTTTAGGGGTGTAGGGTTTGCTGCTTTAGTGGATTTAGGGGTTTAGGGCTTTCTGGGTTTAGGGTTTTAAGGGCTTTAGGGTTTGCGTTTAAAAGTTTAGGGGTTTAGGCTTGAGGCTTTAGGGTTTCTGTTTTAGGGGTTTAGGGTTTTTGTTTTAGGGGTTTAGGGGTCTAGGCTTGAGGGTTTAGGGTTTTTAGGGTTGAGGAGTTTAGGGTTTTGGGGGTTTGGGGTTTTGGGGGGTTGAGGGTTGTCGCGTTTTGTTTGTTTAGTGTCGCAGGGTTTTGGGTTAAGGAGGACTTCAGGCAAAGGATGGAATATCGTGGGGTTAGCAACATGAACAGGACTTTATAGCGGTGTTGGAGGGTTTTATACGGCTTCTGGAATCGAAAATAAATATAGGGTGCTGGATAATTTCGACACGGTTTTGGGATACGCTGTAGTATCAGCATGAGCATAGTAAGGACTGCGCAGGTTTATTATGGTCGAGGGCTGAGAATGGGGTTTGAGTCGGGGTTGTGTGGGCTCGTGCGTGTTAAATTAGGGTTTACGGTGTAGGTCAAGGAGTGTAGTGTCTAAGAGTATACAGCAGCATTTCTCGAAACTACCATCGTAGCAGAAATAGTCAGAACACAACCAGCAACGCAATCGTAGCAGTAGGTATGAGAAGATGTACGCTTGCGAGCAGGGCTCTGCAAACATCGTAGGTTCGGGTCGAGTCGGGTTTGGGTATGTAGGGGTAAGGACTTGGTGGTATTCAGTGATGCCAATACCACAAGTCCTATTCACGCGATCGGGTGAAACAGATTGTTCACATGAAATCTTAAACCCCTAAACCCTAATCCCCGTGAACGTGATTGAACCAGATCTTCGCAGAATGGTGCCTCCGGGTGGGTTCCAGCCTTTCCGTAAGCCGGAGAGCGCCGCAAAAAGCTCTACATGCTAAAGCCCTAACCCTCAAACCCTGAACCCCTTAATCCTAAACCCTGAACCCTACATGCCAAAACGTAAGGCCCCAAATTCAACAGACACCTAGCCCCTGAAGCACCCCAAGCCTAAAATACGATGGAGCATGGGACATCCGAACCCTGAGTCCTTAAACCTAACTACCTAAACCCCCCAAAGTAGGTGAAATAATGGCCCAATACCCTAAAAGGGCTACTATTCTACATACTAAAACCCTAAACCCTAAACCCTAAACCCTAAACCCTAAACCGTAAACCCAATTAATGATCTAAGCCCAAGAGTGCTCAACTAAAGAAGTCCCAAACGGCAAGAAGCAAAGCTGGTACGGTTTAGGGTCTAGGGTTTAAGGTTTAGGGTTTAGAGGTTTAGGGTTTAGGGTTTAGGGTTTAGGGGTTTAGGGTTCAGGGGTTTAGGGCTGGTAGCTCTGCCGGGCCCCAACGAAAGAAGAAGTCAGCTAAACCAAACCCGAAAACCCGCTGAGCCCTTCAACCCAAACGCTGAAACTCCTTGACCCCGAAACGCTAACACCTAAACCCCCCAAGCCCTTCAAAACCACCTAAGACTAAGACTAAGACCCTAAACCCCACTTGACCCCAAAATATCCCTTATCGGAACCCTCCAAGTGGAACCTTTAAGAGCCGTTCTGTAAAGGGAACCCTGAACCCTAAACCCCAACAGGAACCCTTCGAAGGTACCTTAAACCTCCAAACTAGGGGTACTTAGAAATAAATTTTAATCTTTGGTTACTATAAACCCTAAGAAGCAGCTAAAATTATAATTTTTGCTAGAGGTCTAAGTTCAGTATAGCCAAGGCCTACCATGATGGCTGGCAGCCGCCTCCCCACGCTGAGCTCTGCAACCTTCGTGCCAGCCCTCAAGGTGCCTTTCGGATTTTTGGGGGGTGGGTTTCGGGTTTAGGGAGTTAGGGAGTTTCGGGTTGAGGGTTTAGGGTTGGGGGTGGGTTTAGGGTTCATTGGGGCTTGGGCTGGCTGGGCCCCAGCCCAGAGTAGCGGCTGCACACACCCCTGGAAAATTAGGGTTTAGGGTTTAGGGTGAAGTGGTCCAGCTGGTGCGCTGCTATATAATAGTAGCACACGGCGTGCAGAGTGAACGAGAGTTAATGCAGCAGAATAGTCACAACAGATACCATTCTCAAGGTGCCGGGCATCATTGGCAGTCTTTCAGCTAGGTGAGTTTTTTGGCAACAGTTCATCATGGACCTTCGTGGGATGTTATTGCTGCCGGCACGCGTATGGCTCTGACACTGACTGCCTTCCCAAGGCCGCGATGCCCGACTGTTCGGCGAGGACGGGAGTTCGGGGAGCACCCACGACCTTTGCAAGCTTCTAAAGTTTCTTTTTTTTTGCGGGGTTTCTAGGTAAGAAACCCTAAACCTAAACCCTAATCTGGGTAGGCTTTTCTGGTAGGTTTTAGGTAGCAAAACCCTAAACCTTAAACCCGAATCTGGGCATATAGGGGGTCGGGTTTGGGATGGCCCTTCGAGCATGAAGCCGACCTAAAAGGAGACACACTGTCCGAATTGCCTTGGTGCCGCCGTGAATGCGGTGCCGGAGTGCTTGGTCTCTGGCTTGAGCATCTCGGCGACGGTTGCATCTTCCTAGAAGGGCTACGTCTATGTGAAGTGCACTTGTGCAGTTCACACTGGGTGGACATGCTAAAGGGGGCCAAAGAACTACCAATACCATTTTGTGGGTTCCTTATTATAGTTATACCTTAAGAACCCGAAACCTACTTTTTTTGTAGGGTCCCTATAAACCCCATATTAGGGTGTATAATAAGAACCTACAAAAAAAGTGGGTTTTGGGTTCTTAAGGTAGTATAGTATACCCCCCCCCTCCAAAAAAAAAAAGAAATCCCTACTCGAATTACTCAGGCCCAGATGTCAAGTCCTTATAGAACCCTTAAAGGAACCCTAAACCCTAAACCCTAAGCCCTGAACCCTAAAGCAAGCCTAGTCTTGTTAGTCAGGCCCCTCTACTACCAGCTCTCTGAAGCAGGCTGGATCCAGCAAAAAATCTAAATTTAACCTAAACCTTGAAGTCAAGAACACTCGGAGTTACTTTACCCAAACCTTCAAGACTGGATTACTAAACCCTACATTCCAAACCCAGAGGTATATGGACCCTTAAAGCCTTTCAGGTTTGGGGGATCCTTGTGGACGATGGCGCTTGATCCTCCGCGAGAAGGCATGCGAGTTTTTCAGGGCCTGGTGCTTCCATCTTGGCTTCTTGGGGGATTTGCAAGGGTGTTATACTTACCCTAACCCCCCCAGGTACCTACTATATAGGGTACTAGAGCCCCTAGGGCCCCATATAGTAGGTACCTGGAGGGTTACTCTTAGTTCTCCAATAGCCCGCCTGTAAACTTTTTGGGTTGTTTTTTGTAGTAGTAGCCGTAAAGTTTCACGTTTAGTTTCCCTGGCTTCTTGGGGAAGTAAGTATACAGGGTGTTCGTATAGATTTCGTGGGGCTAAGGCGGCAAAGGATTCTGTGGGGCGTTCTGTAGAGAGGGTCTTACAAGTATCTCCAGGGACTGCATAACGGTAGAAGGTTTGGGGCGTCCGACCGCTTTTGGGTTTTTGTTCTTATTTTGGGACTTCCAAGGTGTACGGTGCAGTATAAGCCGGTCAGGGGGCTTAGTGAGGAGCGTATAACTACGTAGCAGTAGAACTGGGCTTTACTACTGATATCCTACTTAACAACCCTCTGAAAAGACCCTTGTGCAAGCACGTAGTGTGTGATGACACGAGTGAAGACGTTGGCCAATCTTTTCATGGGACAAGTGCCACCCCAAAATTGTGCATTGCAATGTCAGGGTCCGAACAAGTGGCCCTTTGACTTTACAATGTTTTTTTGGGTTAAAGCCCATGTAAAACCTCGGCAACAGAGCAAAGCCAGAAACAGACCCAAGCTCACTATCCAGAACCCTAAGCCATACGCCGAAACTCGTTCCCCTTAAACCCTAAACAAAAGATAAACGCTACACCCTCAACAAAAGATAAGCCCTGAATACCCTGAATGAAAAGACCAGCCCTAACCCCCACACACGCACACACACACACACACACCCTCACACACACACACACACACACACACACAAACACTCTCACACACTCTCACGCACACACACACACACGCACACTCACACACACCTGCACACACACACACACACACGCACACACACACACACACACACAGACATTCTTTTTGCCTCCGACAGGGCTTGGATGACGCGACTCTGAGGCAGTCGCGCGAGACGTTGATGAGGCGGGACACCTGAAAGTTGGCTTTAGTAATCCTAAGGGTCCATGTACCCAAATAGGACATACTTTGGCCCCAAAGTACCCATATAGGGAATACTTTAAGGCCAAAGTATATACTATTTGGGTACATGGACCCTTAGGGTAATTTACCTTTTTGAGATTTCTGTGCTCCGGGCTTTCCAGGATGATGGTATGCGTTGGTTCAGAGTATCTTAGTTCTTCAATACCCAACCTTTAAACTTTTTGGGTTCTTATAGTTTAGTAGTAATCTGAAAGTTTAACCTTTAATTTCCCTGGCTTGTTGGGGAAGTAAGGTATAGGGCTTAGGGGTTTAGGGTCTGCAACTCAGAGATGGACTCGGTTCAACGGTTCAGGGTTTTCCGGCGAAGGTCTGCTGCTGCAAGCAGGTAAGTTACGTACATGTAGGGGCTTGAGTGTGTAGTAAAGTAGTAGTGTCTTCCCCTTGTTGTCCCTGTAGAGCTACACCATAATATTCCCCAAAAGCCGACTGAAATCAGTGTCTTTCTTCGCATTACCACCATCTTCAAGGGATGTACTGTCGGCTCTCGAGGTGCTAAGCCTTGCTACGGAAGAGCAGTGGACGTTGTTCAGAGTCTTATAACCGGATTTCTCGGGTTTACGGTTCACGTGAAACCCAAATAACCTACCGTGTTCAGGACTGACTAGGGGTGTAGTGTAGGGCTTTGGGTTTAGCTAGGTTGCCCAGTGGTACCCTTTTGCCCTTTCTCTTTTTGGGTTCCCTCATTAAAACCAAACAGTAGGAAAGAAGGCCCTAAACCCTAAACCCCTAAACCCTAAACCCTAAACCTAAACCCTAACCCTAAACCCTAAACCCTAAACCTTTATTATTAAGGGGATACTGGGGAACCCTAGTTAGGGTCTTCGGCTTTAGGCCGTCGGGTCTTCGGCCGTACTGGGCTGGCATCGAGGTCTCCGGGTTTTGAGGCTTTAGAGGCGCAGGGTTTGGGGGGCAGACTTTTTAGGGGTTTGGGTTTGGAGGTTTAGGGTTTAGGAGTTTAAAGTTTAGGGTTTTGGGGGGCTTAGGGTTTAGCCTAGGGTTTAGGGTTTAGGCCTCTTCGATTTGGATGTTTTTTTTTTGTGCTGAAGGGACTTCACTCAACTCACGCCCTGTTCTCAATGCCAGCTCCCCCCCAGATCGTTTGCAAGTTTAAATGCTTTGCTATACTATACTAGACTAGGCTAGACTAGATTATGTTACACTATGCTACGGCAAAGCCCGTCTCCAACTATTCAGTCCCAGGCTATCAACGTCAATTAAGGTTTCCTCCAGGTTTCTGTCACGGAGCAGCCGCGGGAGATGTCCCAGTTCATATGGGTAGTTCTCTAAATTCGGGTCCGCTTTTAGGGTCCCTTAGAGGGATCTAGAATGGTTTCTATAGGGCTTCTATAAGGGTACCATACGGGTTCTATATGGGTAGTTCTCCAATTGAGGGTGCCGTACGACCTTGGCGACCGAAAATGGGACCCTAATTCAGAGAACTGCCCATGTGCCGACGTTGTGAGGCAGTCACTTGCTGCTGACCTGAACAGATTTCCTGAACCAAGCTCGGGTTTAGGGTTTAAGGAGACCGTGGGGGGGATGTTGGGTTGAGGCCTTCGGGTGAACCCTAAACCCTAAACCCTAAACTCCCCTAAACTCTAAACCCTAAATCCCCCTAAACCCTAAACCCTTGACCCCTAAACTTCCCTAAACCCTAAACCCGTAACCCCTAAACCCTTAACCCCTAAACCCCCCTAAACCCCAAACCCTAAACCCTCTCAGCCAGTAATCGCAAGCCCTGAGGCGGATTTACCAGGGCATGTCCACCAAAGAAGCCAGCGTGAGCCGATTGCCATGGCCTCGGACAGATTGAGCTCTTTTTGTGCACCGTTTGTTTTTTTTGGTTTAGGGCCTAGGATTTTTTGGGGTTTGCGGGGTTAGGGCCGCTCAGGGCTTAAGGCTTCGGGCTTGGAGGGCCAAAGGTTTGGCCACCTCTCTTGATTCAGAGATGACCATTCAGAACCTCGAGGAGGGATAGTGATTTTGATCAACTCCGGCATAATCCCTGGTACAGCTAGTTAGGGTTTAGGGTTTAGGGAAGCCACTAAAATGCGTGTAAACACAAGCTCGCTAACACCTCAGAGCGCTAAACAAAAATCCTGAAGCCCTAAACCGGCAGCGACCCTAAACCCTAAATCCTAAACCCTAAACCCTAAACCCCCCATTGAGGCTTCGAGAATGGTTGCTTCCGGTCGGCCAAGCCGACATGGACACCGTGGCAGCTGCAGGGGAGGTCGGGTTTACCTATAGGCCCTAAAGTAGTTCCTTTTGGGGGTTCATATTGAGAATCCTATTAGGGAGTCCCCAAAAAGGAACTACTATGTGGGGGTTGTTAATCATGGATTCTTGTGGCTCCCTGCATCCGAAACTTGTCAACCCCGCAATGAACCGTAACAGTACTGAAAGTTCCCAAGCCGCAAGTCCTGAAAACCCTGCCCGCAAAGTTGCTAGAAAGCAAACCCTCCCGCCAATCTCCCTGCCCTGGCTATATTACACCGTCTTGTTCAAATCCTGTCGGATTTCCACACCCTCGAACCGAGTCCTACGCCAGGTCCTACGCCACAAGTTTTAAAACCATAGCTCCTAAACTTCACTCGTACCTAGCAAAGGAACTGCTGATCCAGTCAGTTGCATAAACTAGCATGTGTCTGTCGGTCAGAGAAAGCATGAACCATGCACCGTTTTCCCCTGTTACCTCAGCTGCTGTCTGGATAATTGAAGGTTTCGGGTTTTGTTGGTTTTTAGGCTTCAGCGTTTACGCTGCGAGCGTTTGAATTTGCAGACGTGTCTGGCAACAAGCTGACTTCAAGTTCGGATCCTTATCCTCGCCTGGCACGCGAGCTTTAACCCGGAGGCCCCAACACCAATCTCAACCCAAACCCCTAAAAGGCCCAAACTCAAAACCTAACCCCACCCCCCCTCCAGAACAAAGCAAAAAATGCTTAAACCCAAAACGCTTCGGGTTCAGGGTTTAGGGTTGGGGGTTTAGGGTTCAGGATTTGGGGTGTAGGGTTCACGGTTCAGGGAACAGTTCCCATAAACCCCAAAGAGCCACCCAAACTCCGACAGCCCCACATCGTAGTAGAGGGGGCTTAGGTTGTATACAAAACCCTAAAAAACCCTGAGCCCCACATACAGGCACACATGACCTATACCTATATACTTGCATGGGAACTGACATGGGGTACTTTTGCTACTTTTCCCTAAACCCTAAACCCTAAACCCTATTCCGACCCCTGCAGTAC